TGGGGGATGACTCAGCACATAAGAGTGCCTGTCAGACAAGCATGAAGACCTGAGTTCAGCTCCCAGGCATGACCATACACTCTCCTGAAACGCGGGCACTGCAGTGTGCGGAAGGAAGATTGTCGGGGCTTGCTGGCAGCCAGCCTAGCGGTTCAGTGAGAAATCCTGTCTCAGGGGAGGAGGAAAGATGGCTAGAGCCAGACACTTGGTGCCTTCCCCTGGCCTCTGTGAACATGCTTGGGCATATGCACCCCCACTCATGTACATCACACTGACATACATATGCACAACCCCCCCCACACACTTGTTAATTAGGAGAGACTACATGTCCAGTGAATATGTGGTCCGCTAAACTGAGCTGGAATCCATCTTTGTTGTTGGATTTGAACTTTATGTAGATGGACTCACACAGTAGGGTCTCAGTGCGTCTGAAGTTTTTCATTTAACAGTGTGTCTGGTGCAATGAATTGGGTAGCTGCCGCTCCACCTAAGTGGCGTCTTTGACTCTGCAGCTTTAGACCTGCTGCTTTCAGAAGAACGTGCTTGACAAACACACTGCTTTGGCTCTGCTCAAGCAAAGCTCGCTTTTAGTGGCGGTTCTTCATACCAGGCTCCTGTGTCACCCAGTGTGCACCCTATTTGAAGGCCAAGACTTGGGGACGTTATATGAAAGACTTGATGCTTTTTTCCATCCTTCACACCTGTGTGTTCTACAGAAATCCTTCATTTTTACCGGCAAAGCAAATAGAGTTCATGGGGTGAACTGTGAAGTGATTGCAGTTTCAGTGGGTTCTGCTTTAGCCATTTTGTCTGGATCGGTACCTCAAGGAGGAGACCACCGTTAGCCTTGCCCTGATCAGGCCTGTAATTTTTTAATTGAAAAAAATACAATAAAAGTATATTCTATAGGCTTATGGAGAAAAATTATGTCTCCAAGATACCCCCATTGTTATACATACATGCTTCCACAGGCCTTCACTCTTGCAAAAACTTCTGCTGTGTGAACATAGCACAACTGAACTCGAATTTGTGTGTAGTTTGCAGTTGATGCAAGTAGCACCATTATGAACATCCTGTCTGTTCATAGCATGTGAGTGTGAACATATTACTGTTGGGTATTCACAACTACACCTGGAAGTGCTGCACTACAGGGTGTGCACATGTTTAGTTTCAGTAAGTTCCATCAGACTTACAAAACCCTTTTCCAGTTGCTGCTTTTACCCGAAGCACACTGTCTTTTGAACCTGAAGTCACTCTGTAGTTAATGGTCGCTAGGGGAAGAAGAGACATATGTCTGTGGCGTAGCTCCCAGTCAATCAGCCTTACTCTTGTAAATTGCCTCCCACCCACACTCCTGTAAGTAACCCTAATTAAACTCATTGGTTCACCCCATTTTTCTCTATTCTGGAGGCTATGAGGTGATTTTTCATTGTTGTTTCCTATTGGAAACTCAGGCTTTGTTTATAGTAGACCTTAAATTTCCTCTCTAATGTATTAACAATAATTTCTGTCCTCAAGTTTTCTGAATTTTTCTCATGTCAATACTATTATTTTATTATTTTGGAGCCTGGGAATGGAAGCCAGGGCCTTGCACGCATTCTATCATCTTTTGAGACAGGGTCTCCCCCTGGAGCCCAGTGAACCCCCGGTAACCCGGCCCCACCTCTGAAGAGCTGGAATCAAAGGGTGGCGTCACCATGCTTGTCTTGGTATTTTACATTTTTATATTCTGCTAGGAAGTCCTATTTCTCATATATATGCATATGTATCACATATCATACATTATATGCACACATACACAATACATGCAGAAGATAGTTCTTCATATAGAAGGAAAAGCCAGCTCCAGCTCAAGCATACTTAACACATCATGACTAGCTCAATATTTTAAGTGACATATTTCTGCCTTCTGCTAATGTTTTCTAGCTAAAATATCAGCCCTTCTCCATGTAAACTACGGAGGGTTTGGACAGAGGACAAGCACGTCATATGCTCCCCACATCTTGAAATGGGAACTGTCAAACTTCGCAATCAACATTGCCACAGTATCACTATTGACAAGCTTCCAAAAGACTTCTTTTAAAACAAAAAGCCTTCCCAGGCCCAGAACAAAATACAGCCTGGAAAACGCCTCTCCTTCTCCTGTGTGGCTTGTAACACTCAACCAGAGCCTGAGGGCCAGCAACAGGAGCTTCTCTGAGATTTTCCTAAAATGCTCCGAGGCTAGCCGCATATTTACAAGAGGGAGTGAGGAAAAGTGAAAACCCCTTTCTAGCCCAAGGGCTTTTGTTTTCCTCCAGGGAAATGTCTAGAGCGGCAGCAGACAGTTTCTACTAGGCTGTTGGTGCTGGAAAGCTCCCTAGAGGGAAATCGGTGGGGGAACAAAAGCATAAAAAATGAAAAATTGGTTTGGTCCCAAGAGTGAAAGATGGATCCTCTTCGACTGGAGCACACTGGGCGTGAGGGTTCACAGTTACACACCTTTCCCTTCGGGTACCAGCTGGGCTTTGTGAGCATCTGTATCTGTGCTTGATCTCCTCCTCGGGCTCAGCACTCCTTGAACTCAGGTCTCTCACTTCTGGAGGACTTTGCCCTGGAGCGTGTGTTACTGTAGCCAGCTGTTAGCTAGTTTTAGTGCATGTATTTCGAATGTACAGCATCACACTTTTGTTATTGCTTTTGCCATGCTAGAGATAAAACCAAGGACCTTGCTCATGCTGGGCACATGCTCTACCACTAAGTTCTACCTTCAGACCATGCTATTTTGATACCCATATGCACAGTGAAGGGATCACCATATTCAAGCCAATCAGTATATACAACATCCCACATCAAGTGTGTGTGTGTGTGTGTGTGTGTGTGTGTGCGCGCGCACATGTGGAGAGCACCTAAAATCTACTCTAGTCACGATGCCATTAATCAACACAATGTATCACTTCTACAAATATAGCCAGGATATGACTCAGCAATCTCTTTCTGGGAGTCACTAGTTCATCACTGATGAACATTTATCTACATTATTTTCATAACTTGGCTATTATAAACAATGCTGCACTGAGCATGGACTACAGGTGTCTGAGTTAGTGACACCATGGCTTCTCCTTTAGTTCCTGAGATTGCCTTCCATGGAGAGTGGACTCTAACCTGTAAAGTGAGGTAAATGCTACTTCTCCGAGTTGCTTTGGTCACTATTTTATCACAGCAACAGAAAGCAAACTGAGAGGAGCAGACGACAACCTCAGGTGTCATTTCTCCTTAGCCCAGTTCTTTTTTTCATCAACATCCTTCAAACTCTATGTGTATCCTGGCAGAAGATTCCAGATCCAAACCCCTCTATTCCTGACTGAAAGGTTGACAGAGGGACTTTAGAGCCTTTGTGATAGTATCAGTCTCTCAAGTGTTAGCTCAGACCAATGGCTGGCTACTGAGGTTGGAATGTATTTACATCCAAAATCTCAGGACCTGAAACAGACTACAGATAGCTTTTGTGATTACTTTTGGGGAAAAAAAAACGATTAAAAAACTTTATTTCAGAAAATGAATGCATCCACCATCCTCAGATATATTTGTGACCAGATCACACACACACACTAGACAATGGCTACTATATTATAGCAAGCTTCTTTACAAAGGATAAAATGTCATCTTACCTCACAGAGTAGTGTTGCGTGAGAGATCCTTCGAGGAAGCAGGTAGTGCCCTTTTGTTTAAAAAGCGTTAACAATCTGGGATTGCGAGAATGCACTCTCGTCCAGAAACCAGGTGAAGCTTAAACCACATTACAGCATCTCAGAAGCTTCAGAGGACATGCATCTCCACATCTTACCACAGCATAAACACTTTTCTAAATCTTGTTGCAAGCAGTTGACAGAGCAAGCAAGCCTCAACCCACCTTTCTGTCCAACTGTCTGACTCTCAGAACTCACGCTGCCATTCTATGTGGCTACTCAAGAACCTGAGAGAAGCAGCGTAGTTGCTCTTCCGTGAGTGCTACAGTTTCAGACTGAGGAGTGAGCACTGCTTAGCCAGAAACCATCCATGGCTGGGTTGAGCTTCTCTTCCTTATTTGATGACGCTGGCCATGGTTCAGCTCTTGCCTTGTACACCGTGTATTGGGCAGCATCAACAGCTGCAGGCTTGAATGTCAAGTAACATGGGCATGGATGAAGGAAGTACCTCTGGACAACTTCATAACCAAGGGCTTTTAATGAGTCAAGAATTGGAGAAAGGACAAATCGTTCAGATGTGAGAATGTTCGAGGGTAGACTGGGCTGTGAGCAGACTGACTTAATCTTGGATTCAAGAGCATAAAGGGAACATCTCTAGACATGCATGTTCTGAATATCCCAGGCTAAAAGCTGCTGTTTACAAAATGCCACTAAAGCATCAGCAAGTTCTACTTTAAAGTATACATATCCAAGTATTAATGCTGGGAAATATGAATGCTCAACCACTACCCAGTCCTCCATGATTCTGTAGTTAACAGATAGATCAGCCTTCAAATGCAGATCTAAGGTGGAACCTTTTTTCTTTGCTGAGGTTCTGAAGGAGTAAAATACATATATATATATATATATATATATATATATATATATATATGATATATGATATATGGAAGTCTACTCTGCCACTCTAAGGCACAGCACCTCATGGGGACCAGGAAACAAAAGCAGTAGCTTAGCACTTCCTGTACCCCACCATACATGCTGGAGTAAAGGTAAACAGGGTTGGGATATCTTACACTCCACAGTCATGATGGCAGGCAGTTTTTTCCCCTAAGGGCTTGCTTTCCTGTGTCTCTGTTGTAGGTTGCTAAACCTTATCTATGGCATGATCAGTACTTCTCCCTAATGCCAGACACAAATCACAAAGGGACTTTAGGTACCCCCCCCCATCTGTCTGTAGCTGGAAGGGACCTTAGCAGCTTTAGGAGAAGACAAGTGGCTTTACTAAGCCTGGTGAGTCAGAAATTTAGGCCATTGTAATACAGAACAGTTTTAAAAATGTAATACTGTTTATTTAACTTCAAAAACATTTCAGCATTCTAAACATACAAAAAATAACAGAATGTTGCAAATTGCGTTTAGGTGCAGAGGGTTCTTGAACTTTCGTTGATGCAGTAGTTCTTTGCTTCGCTGACAATGATGAGCTCTACAGTTTAAAAACAGCTGAAAATCTACAGCACTTAACTAAAGAAAAAATCCAAACACTTCCTCATGCCAGCTGACCCCTCCCCCCTTTCCACAGCTAAGAATGTCAGCAGAATGCTATGCCACTATATACAAAAACAAGACAACCTGAAGCTAAATGGATGCCCACCGCAGTATCAACAGGTCCAGCCTCACAGTGCACGCCCTGAGCTACGGCCCCCTCCAAAAGGCATCTTCCCTCACAGCCTCCAAGCCAAACAAGGAGCATCAAGAATCTGTATGGGTTGTTTTGTTCTCTTTACAAACTATAGATATGTACAGTTGACAACTCAGGATTTCTAGCCAATAACCAACCATAGAGTTAACACTACCTTACGAGTTGCAAACAAAATGCCCGAAACATCTTCAAATGCCTTGTCACACCAACAGCAAAGTGCACAGAGTGAGGAGGACACGAGAGTGCCTACCCATTTGAAAAATGTTTGGAGCTATGTACAACTTTGATACAGTTTCAGGGCGCTCCGGACACCCACGGCCACTTCATGTAAACCACTGACACTTTGAGAAACTACAATATGATCGTGATCAAATTTTGTAATTAAATCTAACGAGGGCAATAGACACGGCTCAAATAAGAGATGTGTCAATCACGTAGATTTCCTACTCTAAGGTATTCACAAGGAGATGGAGTTTTATTCATCTTCCTCCTCTTCCTCCTCCTCTTCTTCCTCTTCTTCCTCCTCCTCTTCCTCTTCCTCCACCTTTTTCCGTGCAACTTTAGCAGGACCCTTGGCACCATCAAACTTCCCTTTGGACTTATAGTCAGCAACATCCTACAAGGAAACAGGAACACGGAAAATGAGTGGCTAAACTCTCCAGCTCTTTGCGAAAACAGGTAGAAAGGGCATACAGGCCTCACTTGAGAAAGCAAAGGGGCAACAGTTTCCATATGTAAATATGTTCCTTGATCATTCAAATCTTCAAGTCAATGGGCATTCACGTCATGTTAATAACCCTATCAAATCCCTTTTCCCTCTAAGTGTGGGTGTAGGTACAGTTAGAGTACTAGTTTTAAATGTAGGGGGAGGAGAGGGAGAACTGCCAGAAGCAAGAACATCAGCACACATAGCTTTCATCTAGGGAACTGGACTCTTGCAGGCTAAGGAGAGCACCCAGTCTAGTCTAGCAGAGCAGCCATACACCCCAGCAACCAGGGAAGCTTCCAGAGTCCTCTCACCTTCTCATACTTCTCCTTCAGCTTTGCGGCCTTGGTAATGTAAGGCTGCTTTTCACTGTCACTTAAGTTATTCCACATCTCACCCAGCTTTTTGGCCACATCTCCAATGGAGATTCCAGGATTTGTAGATTTGATCTTGGGGCGGAATTCAGAGCAGAATAAGAAAAATCCAGACCTTTGGGGAGAGATTTATATAGGTCAGGTAAGTATGCATGTATATGCATGCACGTACACGCACGCACACATACACACACACACTGTTCCTTCTTGAGACAGAGGTGTTGCTATGTAGCACAAACTAGATTCCAATTTTCACTCCTCCATCATTGGCCCCCAAGCACTAAGCTTCTAAGATAGGTATGCCCAAACACACCATACCAAAATACTATTGCTTCTTGCCCTGATCTCTCCTCTCTTGCATGGAATCACCACATTCAATGCTATAAATCTAAAGAGTTTAGAATGTCTAGTGATCCTGCAATGTACGGTGCCTTTGTCTTCCAACTGCTAGGTAAGGGAAAAGTAATACGGCTAAGGGAGCGGGTGTGCTGAAGTCAGATGCCTCCTTTCTAGTGAAGAACTAGTCAAGCTCTGAAGCTGAGACAGTCAAGCAGACAGGCACTGAACTGAAAGCTGAGTTTAGAAGCTTGTCTCACCATTTTTTTTAGAAAAGGTAATAGCCTTTAAAAGTCTTTTCAGCAAGAGGAAAACTTTCAACTGTTACTACATAATCCTATAGCTACTTACGGTGGTCTTTTGGGGGCATTAGGGTCCTTCTTCTTCTTGCCTCCTTTAGCTGGTCCATAATCTTTCATTTCCCGATCATAGCGTACTTTATCTGCCTTTGCCATTTCATCAAACTTTGATTTCTCTTTGCCGGACATTGTCTGCAAACAACAGAACTTGTTAAAATTCCTGGATACAGTTGAACACATACTTGACCAATGGTTTTGTAGAACCCCTTTGTGGGGAAAAAAGGTCTCTGCACTTATTTTTAAAGAGTAAATAAAGAAGAAAACAGCCAGCCACTTGGGTGACTCTGCAAGTGAGTAAATCCCGAATGTAGCCTACAAACTGAACCATCAAAATACCTTCCACCTCTCAGAGCAATTCTTGGAAAACTCCGCAAAATTGACTGGGACCTCGGGGTTTTTCTTATGTTCTTCCCTGCAGGTCTGGACGAAGAAGGCATAAGCCGACATCTTGCCCTTTGGTTTCTTGGGGTCACCTTTAGCCATCCTGACTGATGTATGGAGAGAAGACAAAGAGAAGAAAACACTATGAAATACGATGAGAAATACAAAGAGAGAGCAATGGCAAAGCCAAATTAAGTTTCTTGGTAGGAACTCTCCTCCCCCTCAGCTCCTGATATTGGTGGCAGCAGAAGGCGGAGTAGGAAAGAAATCAGCTTCACTGTCGCTTGTCATTTAACTTTTGACCAGCATGAAGCGCACTGGTTTACAAGTTACTTCTCTAGAGTGATCAAGTTCTTCAAATGGGGATAACCTCAAAATGGGGTGCTGAGCACTCCACATTACTGAACTGCTACTATTTCGCAGTTTCTAAAACCAAAAGCCTAAAGAACTAATGGGAAGACATGTTCATAATGTTCATAGAGAAGGTAAGCGATGGGAGATAGACTTCATTTCGACTAGGTCTCTTTAATTCTTACGTTTAGATCGGAAATCAAATGAAACCATAAATAGGAACAGATGTGAAATACCAGTGTTGCTGATATATTTGCCTTATAAAAATGGCTTTTTACAGCACTGCTGATCTGGAAAGCAAGCAGGTATCCTTCATACTATTAGTTGAAACCTGTCACCAGGAAAAGGGGGAGGGGACATCAAAAGGACTAGTCTTTCCCCTGTGTAATGCAGAAATGCAGGTCTAGCAAGGAACACTTTCCCCAAAGTTTCCAAATAAAAATGCAGCTGTGGCCTGTCATCCTCCCTGTACCCCGTCCCCCACACCTCACCCCCCCCCCCCCGCCCGCTTCCCGCCATCTTTTCCTTTTCCCACACCCAAGGTCATCATGTAAAACTAAAGCACTCCCCTTGGCACCAAAGGCCCGCGGGGCAGCATTAAAACCCCTCCGCGGCATCGCGGGTGGGGCGCGCCCCGACACTGGGGCATCCAGGCGTCCAGCGGACAGCCCGTGTCGGGCCACGTCCCCATTGCTCCGGACACCCGTAATTCACCTTCCATTTTGTCAAAAGCCTCGGGATGAAAGAAAGTGCCCGTGAAATCGACTGCTACCACCCCCAAGCCGAGCGACGTGCCGGGGGCGGCGACGGCGTGGGGGGGGACGTGGGGCCCGGTGGGCGACAGTCGCGGCCGCCGCGCCTCCGAGCCCCGCTTGCTAAAATGGCTGATCCGCGCGCGGCCGGCGCAGGCGGCGATGGTGGTGAACAAAGCGGCCCGGGCCCCGCCACCATCGCCCGCTTGCTGGCCCCCACCCCGCCCCGCCCCGCCCCACGCGGGCCGCCCGAGGGCGCCGAGCCACCAGCCTGGCCTCCCCGCCCCTGACGCGGGCCGCACTCCTCGGGATAACAAAGGCGCCCGTGCAGCCATGACGCTCCATGCAGCGGGGCCCGAGGCAGCGCCCCCGGCCCTGCATGTTGTCCGGCTCCGCTGTCACAGCCTGCCGCTGGGCCCCCCCCCTCCGGCCTCGCCCGAGCCCCGCACCAGCCATACTCATCCCACCGCTGCGCCGGCGACACCTGCCCCCCTCCCCAGGCCACCGGGCGCTCCACGACGGCCATGTTCCTGCAGAGCCACTGGCTCAGCCCGCGGACCCGCACCGTGTCCCCCTCGGCCTTCCCGCGAACTTTGCCCGCGCCTCGGCCCCCAGCCGCGCGGCCGCTCCCAGCAGAGTCGCTCCCCGGCTGGGGCGCGCCCAGCACCCTTCCCGCCGCCACCGCCGAGACGCGCTCCGCCAGAGCCCGCAGCCGCCTCTCGCTCGCTGCGCTTCCGCAGCTGCGGAACATCTGGCCAGGGGCTGTGGAGCCGCCAGGCTGCTGCCCCTGGGGGCGACCGCCAAGCGCGGCTGTGCGGAGAGGGCCGAGCCCGGAGGAGCAGCGGGCTGGGAGCGCAGGCACTGGAAAAGTTGAGACACCTGAATTGCTTCTTCCTTTCTGGCCACGGAGCAGCAGAGGAGGAGACCGGGCGGCAAAGGCGCGGGGGCCGGGCCGGCGAGAGCGATAGCGGCGCGCTCGCGGAGGCGCGGGCCGGAAAGTTGTGCGGGTGCCGCTGCAGCTGCAGGAGCGGCGGCGGTGGCAGGCGCGGGCGGTGCGAGACGTACCTGTATTGTTCGCGAGTCTGGGCAGCGCAGGGCACGACGCGAGGCTCAGCGCACCCAGCCTCGCGCTAGCTGCCTCCACGAGAGCCGCCTGATTGGCCAACGGGCTCCGCCGTTTAAAACAACCTCCTCGCCCAGGCATTGGCTGCAGACCTCATGCATATTAAGCAGACTCCCGCGCCCATTGGGCGCGGCCTCTGGGCTCATTCATTCAAACACAACAACCCGCGGTCGCCTGCTGCGAAGGCAAAACACAGAATAATGATTTTCTCTCGAACCCACCTCCTGCACCGCTCCCGCGGAGCACAGGCGCGAGCTCTAGAACTCCAAGGACTTTGGGGAGGTGGCCCTAAGGTTCCCGCAGGCCTTGGCCTCTAGCGTGAGAAAGCGAGGTCGAGCTCAGCTGCTCTGCCCTCTGCTCCTGCAGTGTGACACTTTGGCTGCCTCTCGCCCTAGTCGTGCCCCTAGAAACCCCCTGGGTCGTTTGGCGAGGGCCGACGGCCCACCTCTGCCCAGCAGTGACGCAGCAGGGGCCTGGCTTCAGGCCCCCACTCGGTGCCCAGCCAAGCTCCAACAGCCTCTGCTGCGCGTCCTAGCAGAAGCCAGCGGCTTTCAAAGCCTACCTGAAAGAGGCCTGACTGTGCCTTCATGAACGGCATTCTTTGCGGCTCTTTCCAGTAATTACCAGTCTCTATGTAAGCACCTGCAGTTGAGAAAACGGCGGGCTAGGATAGCTAGGAGAAGGAAACAAAGTCCAACAAGAGCAGAAAAAATGTGAGGAAAGGTAGTTTTGTGAGCAAGCAGTGTTACAAAGTGACACAGGTCCCCCATCACTGTCCTGTGCAGACATGCATTTCTTTCTTTTCCTGGCACTCCCCTGGTGAATAAAAGTACGTGGAATGACAGACTAAATGCCACTGGCTTGGTGGTATCATTCAAAGTATCAGCCCTGCTTTAAAACGATCTGTGGAGACTGTTGTATTAGTCCAGCAGTACAGCACTCCGGTGTGTGTGTGTGTGTGTGTGTGTGTGTGTGTGTGTGTGTGTGTAGGGGAGTGGTTGATTTCAATAATGCCCCGCTAAAAAGTATTGAAAAATAGCTTCAGGTCCTTGCATCCTTGAGTTACCACAACTTTCAGAAAATGTTGGGAGAAAAAGGTAGGGTGCAAAAAACATTTTCAAAGTCAGCATAATCTGGAGACAGTAAAGTCTCACTTTTTATAAAGCTCATGGTCAGGTAGATGTTTCCCCCAGGTAGACAGTCTCAGCTCTAATCAGATCCTAAACACCCCCTACCCACTCAAGGAGGGTTGTCTTTCCTCCAACCCATGCTATCTCTGTGTAATTCACCAGCGAGTAGAGTGTTTTTGTGGAATCTGACCTCTCCACCAAAGCACCCAAGCCTCTCACGGTTGCCAGGCATTTGTAGGCCTGACAACAGCTTAGACCTCTCTGTTGTACAGTGCTCTGGCCACACGGGGAAGTCAACCCTTCTAGAAGGTCAGACCAAAGAAGAGTGTCTCCAAACAGCAGCATAGCCAGACCCTCGTGTCTCCATCAAACCCTCAGACTCCTCCTTCCCCACCCCTACCCCTCCAGACTTATTCATTCCCTACTGCACTGGTAACCCCCTTTCTGTATACATACTCCAGAAGAGGAAGGGTCTATTTTTGTCATTCATCTCTGCTCAAGAGACAGTCATTACTGCTAGGCATGGTAGTACAAGCCTTTAATTCCAGCACTTGGGAAACACAGGCAGGCAGATCTCTGTGAGGTTGAGATCAGCCTGGTCTACGTGGGGAGTTCTAGGTCAGCCAGGACTACGTAGAAAAATCCTGTCTCAAACGAACAAACAAAGGCAATTGTCAGCCTTGAAGGTGGTTGCCATGGTTCTATATACACCTTCCTCCTAGGCTCCTATGTAGGTGATCTTCCTTGCCTCATTTCCTTCTGCAACAGCATGCCGGAGAACAGGCTGTGTCCTAGTGGGCTCCTACCTCGCAAAAACGCTCATACTTTAAAGCCATGTATGTATGTTAAATACCTACTAATGGCTAGGTGAAGTGTGGAACACTTATAATCAGTACTTAGAAGGCTGAGAATTGAGGACTTCAAGTTTGAGGCCAGAGCTGGACTGGCTACACAGTAAGACCTTGGTCTCAAAATCATGCCTCCTACTAAATGGCAGAGGAGATGAAGTGGTGGGGTGTGGTAAGGCTGGAAGAAAGAGACAGGAAAACCAGTGTCACATCCCTGTGCCCAGAGGCACAGCCCAGTCTGGTCTCAGGTACTAGAAGGTAGTGCTTTCAGAGGGTAGCAAATGGCAGCTGGTATCTGCTGGCTTGGCACTGTCAGGAGAAGTGCCCAGAGCAACTGAACAAGTGAGTAACTGGCTAGGGAGCAGGAGAACATTCCAGGCCTTAGAGATGGCCCTCCAGGGACCATCAGCCGTCAGTCAACTTCCAGGCTCAGAACCAGGCAAGGCCTAGCCACAAAAGACAACCACTAACCAGAATCCTTTAAGCTGCTTCGCTGCCAAGAGAAGTTATGAAAACATCAAAAGTAAATACGAAAGGGGATAAAGTGTGGCAAATGCTATTTAGAGAGGGTTTCAATCTCTGTCAGTTGAAGGCCCCCAAAAGATTAAACAGAATCTTCATCATTCAACAAAAATGAGCTCCTGGGCCCGTGGCACAATCCCCACCCCTACACACAGACCCCAAACTCTTTACTTGGGTACCCAGGGATTAAATGTGACTCCCCAGAGGCCCAAGAAGGCCAGTTTCCTTTTAAGATCAATAGAAGCCCCGTGTAGTGGCACATTCTGGGAATCCAAGTATTAGGGCGACTAAGACCTGAGGAGCAGAAGTTCAGGGCCAGAGGCCTTTACAACAAGACCCTGTCAGAAAAATCCAACACAGGTGCTAGGCATGGTAGCACTCACCCTTAATCTCAGTATTCTGGAGGCTGGAACAGACAGACCTGTGAGTTCTAGGGCAACCTGGTCTAGATAGTGAGAACCTGTGGAATCAATGGAAGATTTGGGTTGTAGCTCACTAGTACAGTGTGTGTGTGTGTGTGTGTGTGTGTGTGTGTGTGTGTGTGTGTGTGTTAGGCTCTGGGTTCCATTCTAGGGCTCATATAAAGAAAACAGAGATGAGCAAATGAAGCCAGAGTGTCCATTCCACAGGAAGGTGTGGGTTACGCTGGGACGCTGGGGTTGTCCAATCATTTAAAGTTTATCAAGGCTCTGAAGACCTCTGAGGAAGCAAGACCTTCACTATCAGCCATTGTAAATCAACCCAGTTCTAGCTAGCTTTCAGATCTTCCAGTCCTTGACCCACCCTGCTCATCCTTCTGTGACCAACAACAGCTCTCAAATATCCCACTCCTATACCTAGAGTCCTGGCCCTCCTCCCCTGCCTTTTTATTTGCTTCCCCCCAGGAGGTAAGGTGTTTTCAGAGGTTTCAGAGGTGATAGCACAAGAGCTATCAGAAACCATGTGTACCTTGTAAAGACTGCAGGGTCCAGCTTTCTGGAACACCAAACAACCCCGTCCCTGCAAGGATCCAAATAAAAGCTTGGTCATAGGCTCAACAGACTTCGGTGAGCAGCACCTCAAAGAGGGGTTCCCAGTTCTGTGCAGCAGCTAGAGAGAAGTCTGCTAGGAGTCAGGTAGGTGGGTGAAACTGTGCCTCCTCTCCTGCCCTGTTGCCCAGTAGAAGTATTGAAGCCTCCAGGGAGTCAGTGGCCTAGAACCAAACCAAGCCTTGAGCCCTGGGGCTGTGTGCAATTTATCTCACTGCTTCAGCCAAGGTGGCTGAAGCGGTGCCTTGCTATAGTACTGCCCTTACTCAGCCAGGCTAAACTGCTTCTCCTGGGACCAGTGGAAAAGAACCCTGAAGCCACAGTCATTTCCCATGCATGACACAGCCCTCTTGAGCAGCACAGGGATCACAAGAGTCCTGCTAAGACCGCTTTCATGTTGACTGAAAGTCCACTAGAAATGGGCCGACCTGAGAAACTAGCACTCATCGTACTACCTAAACCCAGACCCTTGTGGGTGGGGCACAGTCCTA